CGCACCGCTGCCATCCTCTCCCCCTGTCCGCACCGCTGCCATCCTCTCCCCCTGTCCGCACCGCTGCCATCCTCTCCCCCTGTCCGCACCGCTGCCATCCTCTCCCCCTGTCCGCACCGCTGCCATCCTTCCCTCTGTCCGCACCGCTGCCCCCCCCCCCCCTCCACAGCCGTGACACTATGGGGACGGCTGTGGCAACATTTATGAGTCCTGTACACGCTGCCAACGCTAACAGCCTGGTGAAACATGATCACGCGAATAAAATTTCCTTATAATCAGAGCTGTACACTGTAAACCTTCCACTTTACACAGGCGTCTCAGAGTGGCCCAGAACACAAACGTTTCAAGACAAAAACGTTTGAAATATCCCGACCTGCTGAGAAACATTAGTGATCAAGAAAACTATTTGGGTTGGCCAAAGGCATGGTGGCGCCTCGGGGGAGGGGGGGGGAAGGGCGATGGGGGGGGGGGAAGGGGGTCAGTGTTCACCTGGTCCACTGGCCCAAGAAATGACGCACACATGTGCGTGTACACATCCACATGTGCGTGTACACCCCCCACATGTGCGCGTACACATCCACACATGTGCGTGTACACCCCCCACATGTGCGTGTACACCCCCCACATGTGCGTGTACACCCCCCACATGTGCGTGTACACATCCACATGTGCGTGTACACATCCACATGTGCGTGTACACATCCACATGTGCGTGTACACCCCCCACATGTGCGTGTACACCCCCCACATGTGCGTGAACACATCCACACATGTGCGTGTACACCCCCCACTGCGTGTACACACACACACATGTGCGTGTACACATCCACATGTGCGTGTACACCCCCCACTGCGTGTACACACACACACACCCACATGTGCGTGTACACACACACACACCCACATGTGCGTGTACACACACACACACCCACATGTGCGTGTACACACACACACACACACACGTGTACACACACACACCTACACAATATCAACAAACAACTCACCTGTGATAAGTCACAAGACGTTAGGTGTTGCAAGTGTTGAGGAGTGTTGCATACCGTGAGCCAGGGAGCCAGGCAGCCAGGCCTGTCTTATCCTCCTCCTTAAGATCACTCCAAGTCGTCTCCGCGGGATTCAACTAGCAGGTTTGGTCACATATAAAAGTAATTATCGAATCATTAGCCAATTAAATTGAGCTAAGGTAACAAATGCTCTTATCGTAATCTACTAATAACACTTCATGCTCCACTATGTATCTTTGAAATATATATATATGAACGATGTAATCTTGTCATGGTGAGGTGCGCCACAGGGAAGGAAGGAGGAGGAGGGCGACGCAACACCTCACCTCCATCAAGGCCGAAGCCAAACTGGAACTCTGGACTCGCCAGGTGCCACGGCTCCTCAACTCAGCGATGCGAAAAAGTTTCACTGAATATAGTTTTTGTTTCAATTAGCTGAACTTTTATTGTCCGACGAGTGTTGGATTATTGTCCGCCATTGGTGTCCTTCGTGTTTTATAACTCTTTAAATGTGTTATTGTCTCGCCTTCTGGTCAAAATGAGGTCTCTCGAACGCTGTTTTACGTTTTAATTCGTGTGGTTTAACAGGCCAGCCATCATTGTTTTGATAACCTTGAAGTTCTCCCATTCGCTCAGGCTGGTCCAAAACATGGCATATAACTGTCAGAAACATTAACACAAGTATAATCTACTACAAGAAAACACAGTGTGCACAAGAGGCCATCTCTCAGGCGCTCAAGAAAAGCGTCAAGAGATTCATCACCAGATTTTCGGTCGCCCGACGGCGGTTGCCTGCGGGGTGTTGCCAACACGTGCGCCCACTGACGGTAAGGCTCAACCACGGCCTTTAACAACATGCGTCGCAGGACGAGGATAGAGAACTCCCTCCCCCACGACGAGGGGCAGGCCCTTGGGCACGCTCCGTGGGGCACGCCCTTGGGCACGCATGCCCGGTTGTAATGCTACAAGACAACAGTGATTTGGGGGGGGGGGGAGGGGGCTGCACCACCGAATTCCAGCGCTCACGTCATTGGTATCCAGAGATATTCAAGGCTAAACTTTGATTGTTGAGTGGTAATGTTATGGCCTTGTAGACTGCGTTGTGCCGCTGGGCGGGGCTATAACCCTTCATCATTCCACCCAACCACAACAGCTTATTTTTTTTTAACATTCAGTGGTAAATTCAGTACAGTCTAAATTAGCAATACAGTCGTTAGGGCCACGTTCGTTCTTCACGGGAGAGTGATGGCCATGTCCTATTCTGGCTATAGTCTACATGTAAGCTCATGCAGTTTACAATGTAGACTATTAAAATAGAATGTCTATTTTTCTCTTCAATTTTGGAAGCCAGATGCCTGGGGCTAGCCTCACTCAACTATGCATGGTGATTGTATGGAAAATGTAATAGGGTAAGGGTAGAGGGGGACCCCATGATTTTGTTCACGAAGGATTGGCTCCTATTGCGACTCCCATGAAATCTGAAACTATTCTTCAGTTTTCAATAGAATTTTTCTAAAGTTTTTCAGCTGGGGCTCAGTATTTCACACCATCCTCAGATAGTACGTTTTGTAACTATGTGAACCATCGTGCATATATTGGCGTAATGGACAATTAGAATACAACTTGATACTATTCAAAAAATAGTCTGTAAAAAATAAAGCTATAAATCGATTGGGGTCCAGGACGGACGGAAACGTCGTCGTCCCTTCACCTTCTAGTGTGTGGTCTGGTCAACACAATTTAGCCACGTTATTGTGACTCATCGCCTGCATAAAGCTACAAATTAAACTTAAATATTTCTAGGCCTAGTGTAGTACATATGTTCAAAAGCCTCATCATGAATTTGGCCTAGGATTGTTAGGCTAGGCTTTATTAGCAACGCAATATACACAAAAATTTCTGGTTTGTACAAATTCAATAGTACTAAATTCTACTTTCTAATTGTCTGTTACGTCAATGTATGTATGATGGAGCCCATCGTTATTAGTACTAGCTAAACAACAGAATGGACTGCTATATTGCATGTTCTGACAGGTGGGGGGGGGGGGTGGTTTAGTAAGGAACTCTGCAGTAGGTCTATTGGTCCTTATAAGGCATCTCATATATGGGAACCATTCCCACTCATGTTCTTATCTAACCGCTCTTACTCATTTATGCATCAAACTTATGATTTGTTAGTTTTCAGCGAATTTATATAATATACATATACACCCTTCTCTATATTTGTAATGTGCTTGGGAAGATGAAAAAATTACCTCGCCCAAGTTCATCTTTACAGTTTTATATGAGCCGATGCTAAGAAATGCGTTTCATTGATCTTGTCAACATTTTCAAAGGCAGAGGTGAAGTGTAAACAAGCTCGATTGATGGATGAAGATTAAGCCACCCGAGAGGTGACATAGGCTGTGGCTGTTTTAAATTCAGCTACTCGGAACAAAATGTTCCAAGTAGCACTGTAATGTACATGTTGTTTCAGATTTAGCTACTCAGAACGAAATAACCATGTAGCACGGGCTATGGTGAGCCCGTAACGTAATGTATAGATTGATTGATAAAGATTAAGCCACTCAAGAGGTGGCACGGGCATGAATAGCCCGTAATAATGTACAGCTGGGACGCCCACGTATATGACCAAGAAGGATGAGGTGAAATGAGTACTTGCCATGTTCTTATGGAGCCTGGGGCAGTGTGCTGGATGTTCTGCCTTGGTCTTACAGATTGTAAAAGAAATATTCTGCCGCCTGTACCATCATGTATACTATTAGCATATATACAATCATTATTGTATATGCTAACTCCCAGCTCTTCTAACTTCTAGACAGACTAGGACCGGGTAAATAATGTCTTCTAAGAAGGTTCCAACCGGCCTCCAGTAACCATAGAACTTATACCAACTATTTGACGAAAGACACAAAAATTAACAGTTTGGCCACGCAAGTTAATTTTTTGTATTAGTGAATTAGCCTAAATAACAACAATCAAATGTAAAAGAAACTACAGAACCTAATCTAACCTATCCTAGCAGTTCTAGGCCTAATATACGGTATTTTAGGCCTCATATAGTGAATAATGTGCTATTCTAAGTCTATGAATGTTTAAGAATTTTTCCCTCTAAAAACCTAATAGTGCAAAACGTGAAGACTGTTGGCAGCAACAGTCAATTTTTGTAATTTCGACCAAATAGATGCTTTAAGTACTAAGTTAGGAGGAGAATGGGGCTATAGCTAGAATTAGCCAAGTCACTCCTCTTAGTGTACTCAAAGAAAACTATAGAGAACGTTGCCCAAGACTACGATCAAGGGGGGTCTCAAGAATAAGACGAAGATGGAAGGTACCATTCGTGGTTTTATTACTGAGGATGCTTTGTACAGATCCCCAGTGATCGCCGCAGCACTCTGACAGGCATTGTATTCCCCAGTCTCGCCTGGAACGGTGTTTTCTCTAATGATTGTTCAACGTCTCCCAGTTTTCGTAATTATACGTAGGTATTCGCCAGCTTTCTCTCACGTTTCTCACTTTTTTCCGCCACCTCTTTCCTATACTCCAGCTTCGCTCCTTTATCTAATTCCACCTTAGGCTTGTGCTGAGTATCCTTCGTGTCTCCGCACTCCTGTTAAATCCACCTTTCCTTGCTCCATATATAGTTCTGCTTTGTCCTATTTGCTTGGTCTATCGGCCTTGCTGTCATTCATTCTGCTTCTTCCTTCGTTATGATGTGTTGGGAGGGAGAGAGAGAGAGAGAGAGAGAGAGAGAGAGAGAGAGAGAGAGAGAGAGAGAGAGAGAGAGAGAGAGAGAGAGAGAGAGAGAGAGAGAGAGAGAGAGAGAGAGAGAGAGAGAGAGAGAGAGAGAGAGAGAGAGAGAGAGAGAGAGAGAGAGAGAGAGAGAGAGAGAGAGAGAAGAGCGAGAGAGAGATATTCCACCACCATAACTATCAATAACACCCATTACCACACATCTGTAGGGCAATTAAACATCAATGTATAAAAATATTTACTGACGGCTTCCTGTCCCGGAGTACAGAGTCAAGGGTTCACGTGTCGTGAACCCTTCCCCCCCACAAGCCGTTGATGTATACGTCATTGATGCAACGTTGAGTTTACTCAAGCTCTCATCAATGAGTGCACAAGTACAGGGTGACACAGATCTGTAGCAGCCTCATCATTTGACTCTTATCTAAACTTCCTAAAAAAAAAAATCGGAAAAATCACACATTCAATTTTTTTCCAAATACAAAAAATTCTGTATGTACATTGTACACCAAATAGAAAGTTACGAGTGTGTGTGTGTTCACCACTATTTGCTGAGTCCTTGGCTACCCTCAAGTCGTCAGTGTTTAAGTTTACAGACGTTTGTTTACTTCAAAGTTTAGCAGGTGTAGCCCACTTCTCAGTTTACTATAGTTGACTGTAGTTCAGGACTATGTTGAGGATCAAAGTATACTCGCTGGCTGGCCAGTACGTTATTGTGGTGGTCTTAATAACCCTTAATAACCCTCCTGTGGTGGAGGGGTTATTAAGCCCCCCCGCCACAACCCAAGGTACCACTCAACATTCAAAGGCATTACCAGGTTACTGAAAACAAGACGGGATGTAAGACTAATTGACCCAAAGTTTCGTTTAAAAAAAACTAAAAAAATCTTCTGATATCAGAGCTAGACTGTCTACAGTAGTCTAAGGTAGACATAAAGCCTCCTTCATGGAGATTAGACAAGATGTCCTTACCACTATTAGGGAGTAAGGTATTAGGAGACTCTAGAACTTGGGAACATCAAGGACGACGCCACAGTCCCTGATCCACACCTGCTTGGTGACCACCAGCCACACAGCTTCCTTCATCACGTACAACCCGGACACAACCCGGCCAAACGGACACGCGAAGTTTCGATCCGGGTCATCCTCCGTGCATATGAAGAACTGGGAGTCCTGTTCCCTCCTGCAGGGGGTTCCCGCCGTCACCATCCCAGCCTCCATGGACATGGAGTATCCCTCCTGAGATTCCAGGTCCTCCAGAAGAGCCTCGCCTCCTCTACCATTGTTGTAGTCAAAGTCCCCGCCCTTGATTCTCTCGCCGGGACAATCGGCGTTGAGGACTTCGAGGAACATGGTGTTCTTGTAGGAAGGTCCACGATCTCCCAGACACAGGTGGAGGAAGTTGGTAGCCCGGCGGAGGTGGCCCCACAGGTTGATGTAGACCCGTCCTAGCAGCTTGTGTTCCGTGCCCACGTCCAGGAACACTACCGGGGTCTTGGTCGGCACCAGCGAGTGAACCACATTCGACTGGAAGGATGGAAACTGTGTTAGCAGTACACAGAGAAATCACAGCAACGTGATGCATCAATGAAGAAACCCGTAGGAGCCATGCTGAGGACTTCAACCTATGCTCCTGGTGCCCCCAGGCACACGCGTTAAACATCCCGACCACGACATGGTCAACATTTTCACTGTGTTAGCAGTGTTTCAACTGTGTACGAAAGTGAAAGTTAATATCAGGTCCAGGATACAACAAGAATGTACCCATCCATCTATACGAAACCTGTGCATCTATATACATGCTCCAAGGTCAAATATACATGTTGCAGGGCCATATATATATATATATATATATATATATATATATATATATATATATATATATATATATATATATATATATATATATATATATATATATATATATATACATGTTGCAGAGCCATGTATACATGTACAGCCAAGTATACATGTTGCATAACTCTCGGAGAAAATATAGTTTACCGCATTTGCAAGAGTGAGAGGGTAAAGTGGTCATGGTGTTTATGATATATTAGCGTGTCTTGGGTGGATTCACGCTGCTGTTGTGGTGCTGCTGTTGTGGTGTTGTTGTTGTTTTAGATTCAGCTACTCAGAACAAAAGATCCAAGTAGCACGGGCTATGGCGAGCCCGTAGTGGACTTACCTGGCACAGGAGCTGGGGTTGTGTACCTGCTGTTTTGAGCGGCAGTTTGTTTTATAGAGTGGGTCACCTCAGTGGTGTGAGTCAGGGCTGAGGCAGCCCTGACCATGAGGGGAGGGCTGAGGCAGCCCTGACCATGAGGGGAGGGCTGAGGCAGCCCTGGTTAACTCACATAAGAGCAGGTGTCCAGGTATAGTCAGGGTCAGGAGGGACCTGTGAGCGACCCGGTGTGCCTCAGGTGAGCTGGGAGGGAGTGAAGCAGCCGTGTGTGGGCGGGGTGCAGGCAGAGGTCTGCCGCCCACACAGCCACGGAGCCTTGTCCCTTGGTGGGGGGCGTGGACCGTCTGGCTGCTCTTCCCCCCCACCCCCCACCCCTCACCCCCTCCACCTACACACTCCTTGTGTAGGTGGGCTTGTACCTTCGTCTGTATCTAGGTTCGAATCCTTGAAAGGGTCACTGAGTGACCTACTGTACAATATAGCTTTGGGATCATTTATGCTTCTTTGTCTCTCACTCTCTCTCATATATATTCACTTGGGCACTAGGAAACTCGAACCACCGACCCCACGAGTGGGAGACAGAAGCTCTATTCACTGCACTACGAACGCCCTTAATAAGAAAAGATTCCAGAAGCAACAAACCGCTGCCCAACTGGAATTTTAGACTTTTCCCCGACTGCTGCTCAACCACAGAGGAGTTAGTGGGTCACGCCTACGTCATTTACACGACCTATTACTGAGGTGGTGACTAGGGGGGTGACTGACCTTGATGATAACGTCGTAGGGAAGCTCCTGGTACTGGTGGCAGTAGACGTGTAGACCCATGGTCTCCCAGGTGAGGTGGGCCAGGCGCCCTCCTGTTCCCTCCACCACCACTGTCAGACTTGGCACCTGCCGGAGCGTGACGTCATTAACAACCTCTGGAGGGTTATTAAGGCCTACCAACTTCTGGAGGGTTATTAAGGCCTACCAACCTCTGGAGGGTTATTAAGACCTACCAACTTCTGGAGGGTTATTAATTAAGGTCTACCAACCTCTGGAGGGTTATTAAGACCTATCAACCTCTGGAGGGTTATTAAGACTAAAGTTAACTCAGAGTATATGTACACCAACAAGAGGGCTATATCTGTCTCTGTATATATATATTTCTCCCTTATTGTGTACTTAGGAAAAATTTTGATTGTATGAATGCACATGTTTTTTTTGGTTTGTAATTTAAGCTAATTTCTGCATAATTATTTGTATGATAGAGGCAGGTTTTGTCTTAATTAATCAACAAAGAAAAACTTTCGAATATTCAAAGTTCTCACCAACATCAGCTCTGTCGCAATTCTTTCCTTTTCTTCTGGCTCCATTTCAAACATCGGTGTTGCTGCGTCCTCTGCTTTATTCCCAGATTCTTGCTGTTCATTCTCATCCCTTTTCTCCTCTCCTTCCTCCACCTTTTCTTGTGTTTCTAACGTCTCAGTGTTAGCTTGATCTTCGATGTCTTTATTGTCGACAGAAGGCTCCTCGTTTTTATTGAGTTTCACAGTTTCCAAGTCGAGGCCCTTGATGTTATCTGATTGGTTGTCTTTAACGAGGTCACCTGAGGTGTTGTCATCGTTAAGAGGCGCGAGGTTCATGGTCTGGGATCTCTTGAGTGCCTGACGGGCCAACCTGCCTCTGGGCTTCTTAATGGCACCTAGCTCCTTCTTCTCCTTCGAGGGCCCCTTCTGTGACGTCGCCTCGTGGAGCGAGTCTGTGAGACTCTTCTGGTTCGACTCCTTCTCTGGCTGTGTCCTCGAAGGCTCTGGTTGGGTCTCCGTCGCTGCTTCTTGCTTTGATCTTGTTTCATCTTCTGGTTTAGTGTCTATGTCCTTGTTATCACTGGCTTCCTTGTTTTTCTCGTCTTTATTCTCTTTCTCTTGAGAAGGTGAGGGGGGGTTGTTGTGTGGGTGCTGGACCTCTCTCTCCGGGGTCACTGAAGGCTCTCTCGGGGGGTGCTGGACCTCTCTCTCCGGGGTCACTGAAGGCTCTCTCGGGGGGTGCTGGACCTCTCTCTCCGGGGTCACTGAAGGCTCTCTCGGGGTCGGAGCATATTTCTTGGCCAGAAGTTTTGTTTTAGCTGCACCGATCGCCAGGGGAGGCTGTTCATTGGTATGATTGCTTTTCTCCTTTGCATCATCTGTCTTTTCTTTCTCACATGGTTTATCGTTTTTCTTCCCTTCGTCATCTTCGTGTACGGATGCTGCAGACACTCTCTCGGCAGCTGCCGCAGCCGCGGCCAACTTTTCTTTAATTCTCAGCATCTTTTTCCTTTTTCTTTTCTCCTCTTCGGTAAGGGTTTCAGACTCGTCAATTTCCCTTTCCTTTTCATTGACCTTTATTTCCTTCTCCTCATTGTTCTTGCTGTCATCGGTCTTGTTCTTCGTCTCGCTCTCGTCTTTCTCCTTCTCTTCCTGCGCCGTTGTCTCTTCCTTCTTCGCGGCGGCGCGGCTGAAAAGCAGATTACAATCCTTCAGATTCCACTTGAGTCCCAGGCACTTGGCGGCGTCGCAGAGGGTGGTGGTCGGGGCGATGCCCTCCACAACATTGACGCCCTTCATCAGTTCCCGGGCGTCCTCCAAGTCTCTCCTGAGGACGCTGAGAGTGCGGATAGCGTCGTTGATGGTCTTCGTGCAGCGGAAGACCTGTTGGTGGTACCAGCGCTCCCGCAAGTCCAGGGCCTCGACGAATTTGCTGGCGATGGCGCTCACGGAGTCCTTCATCTCCCCGATGTACCTGTCGGACACCACTGACAATGACGGAGGGTTTTAAGCTAAAGGGAGACATCACACACACACACACACACATACACGCGCACACACACACACACACGCGCACGCACGCTGACAGTTGAGTCAACGCCCGCGTTGATTGATAGTTGAGAGGCGGGACCAAAGAGCCGAAGCTCAGCTCCCCGCAAGCACAACTAGGTGAGTACATTATCATAGAAGCACATGTATTTATATTGAACCCATAGCCTTGGAGAAGAGAATATAAGACATTGAGGAAAAATCCTTGCGAGTTCTCCATTAATATTTTCAAGTATTTGTTAAAAGAAAAGAGAGAGAGAGAGAGAGAGAGAGAGAGAGAGAGAGAGAGAGAGAGAGAGAGAGAGAGAGAGAGAGAGAGAGAGAGTGAGAGAGTGAGAGAGAGAGAGTGAGAGTGAGAGAGAGAGAGAGAGAGAGAGAGAGAGAGAGAGAGAGAGAGAGAGAGAGAGAGAGAGAGAGAGTCACCTCCAACAGGTTCGAGTGGGACTCACGTGGTAGCCTTGAGGACCTTGTGGGAGTGCGTGGGGTGGTCCTCGAAGAGACACTCTCCACAGGCGGCCTCGGAGCACGTCCTACACCAGAATGACAGCTTCACCTGGTGCCTCTCACACGTCTCCATCTGCAGCAGGCGAACAAGGCTGACACTGGCACTGGTGTAGCGTGAGCTATGGCACCCCCCTCACCATTATACTGTGTGCTATACAGCTATGGCACCTCCCTCACCATACTGTGTGCTATACAGCTATGGCACCCCCATTATACTGTGTGCTATACAGCTATGGCACCCCCATTATACTGTGTGCTATACAGGTATGTCTACATAATACCTGGAGTGGGGAAAATTACAGAACATGGTGGAGTGTTGCCCCCACTGTGGGAGTGAGTCAGGCTGGGCCCTGTCACTCCCACAGCACAAAATACACTGTATAAATAGACACCCCACAGGCGATGTGGGTGTATTTATCCCCCCCCCCACCACAAGTGTGGGGTTGTAGTGCACAACTCCACACGTGTGGGGGATAAATACATGTAAAATGTTAGTAAGTTGCCGGGGTTAACATTAGCATATATGCTGCGCATAAATGGGGGGGGGGGGGGCGGGGGTGGGGGGCGGTGGTGGGGGGGGGGGAAGAAGCATTATAACAATCTACACCTCTAGACTGTCTCCGCCCCCCCCTCCTCCCTTATCTAAGACATCAAGCAAGTTACCAAAACAAAATAAAACAATTCGGAACTAAACAAAACAATTCTTCATGTACACAATATTAAATAATTTTCCTCTTAGCATTGATTAAAAGTTAAAATAAAATAAAGAAGTATATAAGCGAGTGTAGAGAGCAGTGTGGGCGCCGAGCTGTGTGTGTGTGTAAATTAGGGGCCGAGGGGCGCGGGGCGGGGCAGCCACGCCCGCGCCGACACCCTCGTCTGGCCAAAGCGGTCTTTCGCGACATCTGCCACATTAGCCAACTCGTTGTTTAAGAAAATAATAAGAGAATTCATGGTGTAGAAGTCAACCAAAGCGGAGGATGGCGTGTTAGCAAAGCTTATCCTGCTCGTTGGGGCCGTTGGGTAGGACCTACCCCCAGGATGGGGCACCAGGGGTGCTTGGGCACGTGGGTCTTGGAGCTGGGCACGTGGGGACATACCCCAGACTGGGAACGTTGACATGTCGGCGGGAAACCTTTGGTCCATGAATCAGGAGGCAGCTTCCCATGCTTCGAGATCTATCGTCTTGTGGCGTGTGGGGGCGCCCTCACACGCCCTGGCACTCTTGGGTCCACGAAACAGCCTCTGTACAAACAGTGCCGTGAAGGGCGTACCATTAACAAGTGTCAGGGACAAACGCTCAACATAATTATAGTTTTCATACATATACGAAGAAATAACGATAGAGTCTTGAGAGACAGAAGAGCATCGCTTGAGGAATGGCCAACAGCCTCGTGTGCAACCCACAACAGTTTAACTTCGGGTTACCTACCTACTACTAGGTGAACAGCAGCATCAGGTGTAAGGAATCGTAGACAAATGTCTTGCCCTACCCGGGAATCGAACACGGGTACAATCGCCCTTGTGGCGACTGCAGTCATCGTGCTCGATCTTGTAAAGGAGATGGAATATGTGAAGAACTGGCACTGTATTGGAAGACAGTCGTAGGTGAAGTGACCAATCGACAGGTTGACCTTTCATACGTACAGATATTGGTGTGACACCTGGCGGTGGGCCGGTCAGCATGACTGGTAAAGAAGCAGTCTTTGTAAATGTGTTTACAAAATTAATTGTTGATTGTTGCCGCCGAAGGAGGCTAGTTTATTGTGCACCCCATACTCATCCTGTGAGCGGTAGCGCAAAAGCATTACAGAGGGCACAAAAGGTCTTTATCAGACCTCATCTTAGATTATTACATAAACAATTTCATCTATCGTGCGTTTACAAAATATCTTGGACATCCATTAATAGGCTGTAACTGTACTTGTACACAACCATTCCGGTGCACAAACTGGCCTTAAGGAATTTGAAGTGATGACAAAAAATGGTAACCAAGATAAACGATTATATTTTGTGCGGGCTTTGAAAAAAATAAAACTTGAGAATTTACTGAGTGAGGTGAATTGTGTGTACACAAGATTACTTTACAACAAGGGTCGCGAGCCTAATTGATGTTCCGTGCTTAGACGATTTGTCGAGTGGATGAAATTCGTCTGCTTTTAACACATGCAAATTTTTTCTTGTCAAGAATTTTCTGACGTGCGGTTTGTAGACTGGTGTTTTTCACATTCTCGTATTTAAACGACACGAACATCAAATTACAGGGATCTGGCAAAACATTTGATGTTATGTTTGATAACATGAAGCCTCTGAAATCAAACTAAAAATTTTGTTTAAGGGTAGTGTTGACAACAGTAAATTTCAATATTTTCCAATTATAAAAAAACATGACAGATTTTGAAATTCACAAGAAAACAGACTTACAGAACCTTCAAATGCAATTTTTCGAGCAATATATTAATTCAACTGCTGATCAATTCTGTTTAAGATTTGCAAAATTCAGGTAAAGAAACGACAAAATTCACAAAATGTGCAGACAGTGTAACATTAGACAAACTGCATATCAATTTAGAGGCAAAAACTTGTCGACTTAAGAGCTGAACTAAAAAAAAATAGCGAAAGAGATCGATTAGCGAATGATTTACGCTGAATATTACAAAAAAAAGAGAGGCTTTGAAACTCTAGAATTCTATTCCTGTAACTTTTGGGTGATAAATCTTGCAATGATTTTTAACAGTATTTGAATATTACCTGTATTTTCGTCAACATATTCATGCGAGTTATTGTTTTTAGTGATGAACTTTGTCAAGTGTGATTATAGAAGTAGACTTGCTGATGAAACTATGACAAACGGACTCACAAGCCTGATGAGGGTCGTCGTTGGTGCGATAGCCAATGTCTCATTCACAGTAAAATGACCTTATAGCCCTTTCTTATATTTTTTTTTGTTTTACAAGATTTAATCAAATTTTTATAATCTCACATTGACATTTCTTCTTACTTGTAAGGTAAATTACTCTTTACAGTTTGTTATTTTACAATTATCGTCCTAAAAACATTAATATTAATCATTTATTTAACAGGCCTTCCAAAAAGTTTTTATTTAGTTCAGTCTCTCTCTCTTGTACTTTTGTTAATACCAAAACAATAAATAAGCAAAAAGATTCTTTTTTTCCTTAAAACAGTTCATTATTACTGATAGTTATTCATTAATTTTACTTCCTAGGAATTACTAATTATTAATAACATAATTTCTAAAGCTGTACCATTTAAAACATACAGAATAGTTACGGGTTGTGTAAACTGACTTCCATAAGAATGCCTCCAACAATTGTCTTCCGTTACTCCAAACAAAATGGGAAAATACAAATACAATGACACGAATTATATGACTTATATAATAGGAATTATAACATGAATCTGCGACTCAAAATTCCCACGAGCCTACGAGATCATTTTTTGGGGAGATTATTGCTAATTTGGGCACACGTACTCGCTCCTGAAGGCTCGCTACCCCAGGACCTCCAACCCCTCTTACTAAGCTTCCCCAACGTCAAGAAAACGGTCAATTAATAGTACCCTATCCTAACCGACCAGCGGACCCAAAACAAAAAACGGGACAGTACGTCTCTTTCGCGACCCGCTTCCATTTTATTGTACGACAATGTTTGGCCTTATGTAACGCATACAAGCGAAAAAGCGACGTTCTTCGTAGGAGGACAGGTTTGGGAAGCATCTGGGAGGAGATTGATCAGCTCAAGTTCAATCCTCCAATCCACGACAAAGGGGGGGGGGGGGGGTAGTAGATGATCTTGGGCAAGATGTAAATCTAATTGCATTCAACTTCGATTTGATCTGCATGCGTGTGGCGTTGATGCAAGCTGGCACACCTGGCCAGGCCAGGTGTACCTTGGGTCCACACTTGTGATGCAACCTGCACACCCTGCCGAAGGCGTCTCGGGATAGATATCACAGCATCATTTGACGGCATGAGTCAGACTAAGAATGGATGAATTATTCCAGCAGATATATCATACATATATACGCTTGACGTGAGTAACATGACAATGACACTATTTGCTGTCATGTTGTTGACAGTGATGGACTCATCACAAGCCTGAGGAATGCTATTGGGATATTTGTGTGAGTCATGAGTATATAATGATCACAGGGAGAGGTTTAGTTAGGCTATTGGTAGACAGATCACGTTTAGCGTCTGAAAGGCGTGATGGAGGATGGGGGGGGGGGTGAGGAGGGAAGATCGAGAGATGGGGTGGTGGTGGGGGTGCAGGAGGGGGTGAAGGGGCTAAGGAATGGGAAGGGGGGTGTCAGAGAAGGGCGTTTCCCCCACTCACCCTAGTAACCTGCTGGACGCTGGTGATGGCCAGGAGACTAAACTCCGTCGGGAGGTGCTCGGCCGTCTCCACCCGCTGGTCCATGCGACAGCTGGGACAGATGACGCAGCCGTTCTTGACCAGGAAGGCGACGCAGGGGCGGCAGAAGGAGTGGCCGCAGCGCGGGAGCAGCACCGGGTGACGATGCTTCTCATGGTACTGTTCGCAGCACACTGTACACGTCAGCAGATCCTCCATCCTGACGAAGGTACACAAGAATTACTCTCCAGGAACATTCCTTTCCCCTCCCCAACAAAAAAATATTAAAAATCGGGTTTAATAGCAGTTTTCAACGTGTCCCGCCGGATATCCGGAATTTGAATTCAAATACCGGATAAGACCGTTAAGAAACAAGCGCAAAACAACCCTTAAAACTCTACTCTTCTACCAGAATACCAATACCATCGCCACATACCTCACACACTAGAGCAAATTGTCAAACACAAAATAAATTGAACTGAAATTGAATACCTTTGAAGCTTTTCCAGTTTGGTCTTATCCTTGACTAGATATGGACTCCATGCTGGGGCTGCATACTCCACGATTGATCTGACATAGGTGGTATACAAAGTTCTGAACAATTCCCTGCACAAGTGTCTAAGTGCCGTTCTTATGTTAGCCAACCTGGCATATGCTGTTGATGTTATCCTTTTGATATGAGCTTCAGGGGACAGGTCTGGCGTGATATCAACCCCCAGGTCTTTCTCTCTCTCTGACTCGTGTAGAATTTCATCTCCCAAATGATACTTTGTAACTGGCCTCCTGCTCCCTACACCTATCTTCATTACATTACATTTGCTTGGGTTAAACTCTAACATGTGTGTGTGTGTGTGTGTGTGTGTGTGTGTAATTACCTAAGTGTAGTTACAGGATGAGAGCTACGCTCGTGGTGTCCCGTCTTCCCAGCACTCTTTGTCATATAACATATATATGTCATATAACGTGTGTGTGTGTGTGTGTGAACAAGCTTGAATGATCCCCAAGCATATATGCAACTGAAAACTCCACACCCCAGAAGTGACTCGAATTTGTGTTGCTGACGTGGCCCCACAAAAACGAGGTGATTTGATGAAATAACTCTGCTCAAGATTACCATCAAAGTGCCGTCGGGGTGGTGGTTCACATAGCCTCGGCTATCACTGCTTTTTATACAGTCACTGATGGTCGAGTGGTTCAAGGCACCATGTACACCAGTTGCAATGTGCTCCTAGCGGTCCGGGTTCGAGTCACTTCTGGGGGTGTGGAGTTTTCAGTTATATATATATATATATATATATATATATATATATATATATATATATATATATATATATATATATATATATATATATATATATATATATATATATACCTTCCTGTCCTCGTCCAGGCTCCTAGAGAAATAGTGGTCCTCAGGTAAATATATATATTGTATTATTAAAACATTATGTAGTAGTCATGACACCTGTATTAGTGTAGTTAACAACAGTCATGCCAAGAGTAGCAGTAATACTAGCTCGTGATTAATAATGATTCGGGTTCCCTTTGTGACCTGTCACCTGTCCCTCCGGCGCCCCTGTAGCCGCCCTGACATCCCTGGTGATGTCCAGGGGGCCCTACTGTCGCTATGACTTCCCTGCTGACGTACAGGGCTTCTATAGTGACCTTGACATTCCTGGTGATGTCTGAGACCCCTGATGATGTCACTAACTCTCAAACTACGACCATCATTTCAGCTGGGCTAAGCCCTGGCGCTCTCCCTCTCTCTCCCACACTATAATTACCTCTTGTTCAAAACCTGTTCTTTACCTGTCCCCCACATCAACCATCTCCCACTGGCCACTATTTTCTTGATATGATTCGATCCGATCAGTGCCAGGGAGCCGAGGCGTATCCATCAATCAAACCTGCAATCACATAGGGTGGAGTTCGCCCGCAGATACGTCTGCAGGACGTTGTTGCAACTCCGGGCCACCTCTGTGGCAAGGACCTTCAAGATGGCTAGACATTCCTTAACTGCAGAAGTGAAGATAATGTTATTGTCAGGAGCAAGTACTAAACCTGCAGGGACAAGGACCTGGGATGTAAGACTATATAGCAGTTGGAAGGGATAGGGGGACAAGGAGCTGGGATGGAACGGAAGGGAGCGGTGCTCAACAACAAGGACGGTCAAGGGATCGAACGCTGACCTGCAAGAAGCGAGATCAACACTTCACTAAAGTATAAACGCAAAAATCTATTGCAACTTTTGAATTTGTACATTGAATCCGGTAGGCGAGAAGCTATAAGTCTAAGACCTGCCCAACACGCCACTTTTCTCTCTGAAATTCTATTTATAAGAAAAGGATTTTGTGAAAAATTGTGCACATTATATATATATTATATATATATATATATATATATATATATATATATATATATATATATATATATATATATATATATATACATCCATAGAGATCTGCTTAAAAATAAATATACTTTATTCATTTTGAGAGAGTTTATTAGATATTATAAAGTCGATAAAATAAGATCATGTCGACTACAAGTGTATTAAGACATGAGCACGTTGATCACTCAATATGGACCCCACGTTCGAGCCCCCGCGCCTGCTACGTGGGAGTAAATGGTCATTACTTCACGGGTGACGGAAGGAATCGAGATGGAATTACGTAATTCCGTCTGGAAATTACGACTACAAGTGGTAATTCACATGGAAAACATCCTCAAGAATAATGGGAGTTTTTTTTAACCAGCCTCCGGCTTCCTGTCTCCGAATTAGCCACTGAAGATGCTGGACTTCAGGTAAATTAAGTTCTTGCTCAGAGGCGTCTGAGGGAATTGGTCTATATTCATGTGAAAAAAATAATAGGCAGGACCTAGGAAATGAAGTCCAATTGTCCTAGTATCTATGCTTCCATTGCTAAAGATAATAATCAACAGGTATATGTATCTATACCCTATAGATAAATACCATGCTATGTATTCTCACAAACCCAATGTACCTTCTTGTATATAAATAAATAAATAAATAAATAAATAGGTACATTCAATCATTTACAAGGGTCTCCCCTAGTATTATCACAGTGCTGTTCGTTTTCTTAGAAACAACATCAGTTTTACCTGCACAGACTCTTCTAAATATTTGGCACCGCCTCCCGACGGCTCAAGGACCCACTAAGGCACTGTTGTTACTGGTTACGTCACACGTAACACATGCAAATGCTGACAGCTATTTGTAATTACTATATTTATATTAAGTGTATCTTCAAAGTATCTCATCTTGTGCTCCCCACTCACGTTCTTACTCAACCCATTGTGCATTCTTCCATGTATGCATATAAATAAGTAAATATATATGTAGTTATCTTGTGTATTTTTCAGTGAAACATGCATTGGCTTAAATTTACCCGAGGACCACCATCTCTAGTGGCCTCGATGGGGACACGAAGCCGGCAGCTTGTCAAGCATTCCCCAATTATTCAAGAGTATTTTTCCAGCTATAGTTTAAGATAGAGATATTTAGAAGACAAGACTTACACCCGGACCATGTTATTTTTTCTTCTTCTTGTCTGCAATGTGGCTTGGCAGTGTTATATTTATTGGCGAGCACCACCACGAGAGCGAGAGCACCACAACAAGAGCAAGAGCACCACTACGAGAGCAAGAGCACCACCACAACAAGAGCAAGAGCACCACCACAAGAGCAAGCACCACCACACAATAACATTCCTCGCTCTACAGTCATACTAACTGGGTAATGTTCTCTATATTTAGCGTGGCGAGGCGGGTGAGGCCGCCGCGGGCCCCCGCCAAATTCGTGTGCTTGCCGGCCTCCTGATCAAAGGTCCTCCAGCCAACCCACCACCTAATGTTTACCCGCAGGCAAGACCTATTACATGCTGTCAGGTGCGCGGCTGTAGCCCACCTCGCGGTTACAGCAGAGTACAGAATGTGATGGAGGCTTTGATAAGCGAGTTTAGGAATGGCTGTTCCACCAGTAGGGAAGATGACCGTGTGTGTGGACACTGGAGTTTACAGGTCTTGATGTACTGAAGGATAAGAATGCTCCATAAATGCTCCATGTTTGACCGTCCAGCAGCCGTGATATACAAGGCTGAAAATGCACCCAAACTGCTGCGTATATTGACCTTTTTAAACGAGATTGTTATAAACCAGTTTGTCCATGTTAATAGTGAAGGGTTGGTGGTGGATTAATAACACCCTAGGACACTCAAATACACATTGTTATGCAAAATAATAGCAATTTGAATATGCATTTTTTTCTACCACAGACGTGGCCACACATTTACAATGCTAACCAGCATATATACATTTTCTTCTGTCCTCCATGGACAGGGTTAGAGATCAGTTAAACATATAGTTCAAGGATTTATTGAACAATCGAATATGCAGTGATATGTGAAGAAAAATCATATCACACGAAAGAGTCCCTCAGTAAACGATCCTTCTCTGTCGATCGACATGGGTCAAAATGTAAGCATTTTACATTTGGGCTGGACGGTAGAGCGACGGTCTCACCATGCGGGTCGGCGTTCAATCCCCGACCGTCTAAGTGGTTGGGCACTATTCCTTCCCCCCCCTCCCCCGTCCCATCCCAAATCCTTATCCTGATCCCTTCCAAGTGCTATATAGTGTTAATAGCCTAGTGCTTCCTCGTGACAATTACCTTACCTACGAATGCTAGCGTGATACAGTGATAGAATTTTATTCTGAATCTTCAGAGCCGTTCAGGCTGTGAAGTGCCAACAGGTGACTGCCTCTGTCTTCTCAACTAATAGGTCGCGTTCTTAACGTATCCAGCGTTACAATCGCAATCTGTTATGACAAGTAACGGCTCGCGAATATCTGCGATTTCTATGCATCGGATTCGTTAAGTCAGGTTTGGTGGGTTGCTTGGGTTTGAACGTTCCTGGTTAGTTAGGCAGTACACTACGAGGTCATGCCGCAGGTGTATCGTGGTCACAACGCTCACACACAGAGCGGCGGGGCACCTCCGTCGTCGCCTCCTTCAGGAGACGAGGCCCAGGGGCCACCACGAAGCCCAGGGCCATGTGATCCATCATACTGTTGAGGGGTGTGTGATTGCTGGGGTTGTGGTCAGGGCGCGGGCCCAGTCCATCCTACAAAAACACATTTAATCAAAATACGCGCACGCGCACGCATGTGTGTGCTCACCTAGTTGTACTTGTGGGGCTAGAGGTTTGGCTCTTTGGTCCCGCCTCTCAACCATCAATCAATTGTTGTACAGATTCCTGAGCCTACTTCCTAGTGCATTCCACCTGTTAACTACTCTGACACTGAAAAAGTTCTTTCTAACGTCTCTGTGACTCATTTGGGTACTCAGTTTCCACCTGTGTCCCCTTGTTCGTGTACCATCAGTGTTACAGTTTATCTACCCTGTCAATTCCTCTGAGAATTTTGTAAGTAGTGATCATGTCTCCAGGAGCTCTCCTGTCTTCCTGTGTGTGGGTGTGTACTACTAACCAATCAGTATATATCAGTGACTACGGGGAAGTGAGGTCTAGCTCTTGGTGCCCAGCCTACTGGTCTTGTTGTATCCGTCCCATTGTAATTCAACTATTCTGACGTTGGAATTACTTCAGAGCGTTCCACTTGTTGACCACCTGAACAAGGCACGAGAAAATCCTTACATTTTGTTATCTTCGAGTCATTTACGTTTCCAGCTTCCACCTGTGTGTTCTCGTGCTACTTTACTCTCTTTAAAGTGACTGTCCGTGTCCACTTTGTCAATTCCCGTCGGTATCTTGTATGTTACGATCATATCCACCCTGTTTCTCGTTAGAGTGGCCGCTTCCCCCCCCCCCAGACGTATTCCTCAATTTTAACATACTGTATTAAAAGTTGTTTTGTTCTCAGATACAAGGTAATATTATTATATATTAAAGTTATATGCATAGTTAGGCTTTGGTTAGGTGTTTAGGTTCTGTTGGCGATTATTTGTATTTGTAGTACGTGGGTGAAGCATTTACAGCGTTGTGGTTCGAACAAAATTCGTCAGTGAAGCACTTGTTCCGGATATGTTCGAACGTCAGCAGTTGTGAGTCGTGTGTAAACCGTTTTTCATTCATAAACAGGGGGTTTGGCGGGTGCATGGAATCACTTTTGGATCTTTGTTTGGAGGACGGGCTGCATTTACAGCGTTGTGGTTCGAACACACTTCGTCAGTGAAGAACTTGTTCCGGAAGTGTTCGAACGAAAACAGTTGTGAGTCGTGTGTAGAAGCCCGTCCTCCAAACAAAGACCCAAAAGTGATTCCATGCACCCGCAAAACCCCCTGTTTATGAATGAAAAGCGGTTTACACACGACTCACAACTGCTGACGTTCGAACATATCCGGAACAAGTGCTTCACTGACGAATTTTATTCGAACCACAACGCTATAAATGCTTCACCCACGTACTACAAATACAAATAATCGCCAACAGAACCTAAACACCTAACCTAACCTATGCCTAAATATACACAATATGCTAATATATAATAATATTAATTTATATCTGAGAAAATTCCTGTTTTGAATGAACAGCATGTAAAAATTTATGAATGTGTCTATGGGGTTGACCGCTGGATGGAATTGAGTTGCTCTGAGGCCGAGTTACCAATACACTGCAACTTCAAATAATTCCCAACAGAACCAAAACATCTAACCTAGGCCTAACTATACACGAAATTATGATATATATATTATTATTAATTTATAACCAACACAACAGTTTACATTACATAAAACGTTAAGATTAAGGAGCGTGTCTTTGTGGTCGCGAGCAGAGGAAGGCGGCCCGAGGCGGCCTTACCTAACCTTTCCTAGACCTAACTGAAGGTAAACTCACAGTCATTACCCGGTATGAAAGGTTATTATCAGCTGGTTGACAGATGTTTAACTCCAATATGGTTGAGGTAGTTACCTGGAGAGCGGGAGAGGGCACGGAGCCCTTGTCGTCCCGCTGAGCACTATATTCCCAGCAGTCGCCGTCTTGCGTGGCACCCTAGCTAGTCCCAGCGCAGCGGTGCCTCCTAGTCCCAGCGCAGTGGCGGCACCGTGTCCTAGCACATTGCTGGCTACTAGTCCTAGAACACCTGAGACATCGTGTCCTAGCACAAGAGTGGCTCCTGGTCCCAGCCCAGCGGCACCGTCCACTCCAACACCACCACCACTACACTGCCTCGCTGCTGCTGCTGCTGCTGCCCTCAGCGTGGCACTCTCCACGCCGCCGCCGCCGCCAGCGACCAGTGCCAACACCAAGCCCACACCACCTCCGCTATAATTGGAGAGCTCAAACACCAAGATTCATCTTGTCAACATTTTCGAAACTTTGGTTCGAATCCCCGGTATGGTCAACTTTGTCAAATGGGCTACCATCTCTCGCAGACAGGTGGGGACAGGTGGTTTCGGCAGGTGGTGAGTCACAGGTAACTGCTAGACTCCCCCGCCAGCTGCTAAAGTTAGCGGAAGTATGTAGCCAAGCGCTTAGGGCGATAATGACTCTACAGGTGGTGGGAGTGGCCTGAACCACCTTCCTCGCCCACTTAAGGAGTACCTGGCTTATAGTGCCACGGTGAGATAACTGGCAGTGTTGGGGCGGCACCTGGGAAGGTGGCACCCAGCTGGCATTCCTGGTGCCTCGAGGATTTATATACGATTTCAGGGTCTAGTGATCTGGCACAAGTTATATCTGGTTGGGGAAGACCTTGTTTGTCTTGTGCTTAAGAATACATGAAGAGGTCTAACAGGTCAAGACAGCACTTCCTGCCACAAGATTTTCCTGTTCATATCTCATAATATCCTCATACTTGACTCTACTTGGGGTCACGGCCACGCGCGCGCGCGCACGCACATTCAACGAGGAATTTTTAAATAAGCGACTTCAAGAACAAGAGGTCATAGGATCAATCTAAGGAAACAAAGGTGCCAAAAATTTTAACAAAGTTCTCTTGCACAATCATAGTGCTAGACGATTGGAACAAGTTAAGCGAGAAGGTGGCAGAGGCCAAACCCGTTAGTAGTTTCAAAGCGTTATATGACAAAGAGTGCTGGGAAGACGGGACACCACGAGCGTAGCTCTCATCCTGTAACTACACTTAGGTTACTACACTTAGGTCATTACACAGACACACACACACACACACACATAGAGCCCAATAGGCTCAGGAATCTGTACACCTGTTGATTGACAGTTGAGAGGCGGGACCAAAGAGCCAGAGCTCAACCCCCGCAAACACAACTAGGTGAGTACACAGGACAACAAACCTGAGCCATGACACCAACGCCAGCTGACGTGACACTGGATCACACACTGTGTCATGTGTCACATATTCTACCCAATATGTATATGTTAAGGCTTAAGCTGAAGGCTCTCAGGAACATCTCAGTGACTGTATTCCTCCACCTGATCTCAACAACAGTAAACAAACAAACCTGAGAACTTCACATTACCATGATAGGATGTATACATATTTACCTCTATACATATCTCAAATATTAGTTGCTTCCCTGCACGCAGAAAGCATAAATTATTGGCATATTTATGAATTAATAAAAATAACTAATTGTAAATAATTTATAACATTTTCTTAGTGAGAAAAATACGTATTTCTTAGTTAGGTACAGGAGCTGGAATATTTGGGGGGGAGGGGGCAGGGGGGGGGGGAGGGCCCTTGTCATAGGGGAACGCCAGGGGTGGGTTTGGGGATGAGGTCAGGAAAGGGGGGGGGGTCGGCGAAGAAGAGTTGGACAGGTGTGTAACAGGTGTAGGCAATGGACCATCACCCAACGCATTTACCGCTTATCTGGTCACTGAGGCGAATTGGGGGTGAGGTGGGGGCGTCACTCCCCCCCCCCCCCCCCCCAGAGGAGGGGGTAGTCGCCCACATTGAAGGGGGGACGTGGGTGTCTGGATGCTCTCAGGGGTATATGGGGGGGGAACGGATCACTCTTATGGGAGGAAGATAATTCTGTTAATTTACAGTCAATTCCGTATTATTGGACTCACTCTAGATAGGTGATTTCAGGTAAATCCAGGTAAAGATTATATGTGAAAACTGGCGGCCATTGGCCCTCCTGTCTGGAATTTATATTCCATCCTTGCTTAGAGCCGCTGCTGGACCAGCTGGTCCTTGACCACCTGTCAATGCCGTCAAACAGTGCTTCTAGTGCCACCAAACAGTGCCACCACCACCGGGCCCTGCAGATGGAGTTCTGTCCACGACTTAGATACTTGTCTGCTGGAAAGAAAGAAAGGGAGAGAGACAAGAGGAGAAGAAAGAGCAGACGAGAAATAAAGCAGGGGGAGAAAAATGAGAAGAAAGGGTTGGGAGGAGAGAAGAGAAAAAGTTGGGCCGGTGTGTGAGGCTCGCGTCTGGGCCCAGGCTTCAGAGAGGGGCAAAAATAGCGACAAGGAACAATAACGTGACATCGGAGGGGGGGCGAGTGTGGACGACAGCCCCACCCTCCCCCCCCCCTCCCCTCCTTCCCTTCCCTCCTTCCCTTCCCTCCCCCCTCCTTCCTTCCGTCTTTTAGGCTTCCCTCCCCCCCCTGCCCTTCCATCTCTTGCTCCCTTCATCTCTTAATCTTCATCAACTTTCCTCCTTCCTGTTCCTTCCCTCCTTGTTCCTTCCCTCCCTCCCTCGTACCATAACTCTCCCTCTCCTCCTTCCCTCCTCCGGGGACGTCTCTCTACCGTCGCCAGCAGAGAAGGCAGTCGGCAGAAATGAGAAGAATTCTAATTGGTTTAAAAGTTGTATTATTTACCTGTTGCCTCTTTCTGCGTGGGCGGGGGGGGGGGGGGAGAGGGTGTGGTTGTTTTTGTTGTTGTTGTTTTAGATTTAGATACTTATAATGAAATGTCCATGTAGCACGGGCTATGGTGAGCCCGTAATTGAGTTCGGTTTTTCGCGATAACCTTGTTACTGTGATATTTGGGTCAAAGTTTTAGATGGAGGTGGAGTCCATTAAAAGGGTGTGGAGAAGGGGGCTTGTAAATAGGGGTTTGACATGTTATAGAGGTGAGGGGGAGCTTTCTGGTCTGAGAGGTCAGGTCTCTGGTCTGAGAGGTCAGTACTAATATCCCCACCACACACATCAGAAGACGAGGAGACGACGACTCCTGGCTCCGTCGTGGACCATCACCGAGCCACCATTACACAACTTCATAATGGTCCGAAATTAGTTTCTTCATTTTCTGAATGTGTGATTTAGTCGTCGTATCTTCAGCCCCGTTACTATGACTCATCGTCTGCACAGGCAAGGACACACAGGTAAGCACACACAGGTAAGCACACACAGGTAAAATAAAAACCCGACAAGGTTCGCCATGATAAATATTGAGATAAGTAAGAGGATAAGAAGCCATTAGCGTCAGCAGGCTACCAGACCCCGACCACTGTCAGGCATCCGACACCTTCCATATTACAAGAGAGTATTATCATAATGAGTAGTATAGTCATTAGTCACTCCCCCCCCCCCCCCGCCGATTGTGTCGTCTTGTTGGGTCGTTACCCACTCTTGGATACCTTGACGTTGGTTCCGCGTCTATCCGACGTCTATTTTACGTTCTAAGAACACCTTTTGAATGTACCACTGCGTCGACACCTGTACAGTGTCCACCCAACGTCTGTACTACGTCCACCGGACCGGATGTCTTTATTATATCCAACGGACATCTGTCCCAGAGAACCATGAACAGCCACAGAGTACAGTGAACTCTAATGAATCCCGATGAACAACAGAGCCAGCTTACAAAGTGAGCCTATACGAGTTAATCCGTCTCATTAACCCCACTTCTTTAACTCGCCTCGTTAACTCCTTTGACACGTATTCCCCATGAAGTAAAAACGATTACCCCCACGGCCGCCTCCCCACCTGCTGGCGCTGACGATAAGTTGCAGAGATTTTCCAAAACGAATAAAAAATAATTATTAACAATCCCATTCACTGAGATTATGTGTTGCTCGCTTTAGAAACGACAACACCCACTGTATTTTGTCCAACTATTGTAACTATTAAAATCTTATAAAAAAACAGGATCTTAAAAAAAAATACCAGATTCAGAGCCTTTATTCGTAAATGTTCACTTATGGCTGGGTTATTTTACACGGATATACAGTAAATTATTGACCCAACAGACTGGTAAACAGAAGCTTTGCGTCAGTGAGTGAGGACGGTTGGCCGCCCTCACTCTGAAAACTCGCCTGGTGCGCGTTTTCCAGAACGTCAGACTCAAAACGTTGAAATTTTCCGCCTTGTGTATCTGTCTTTACGACCGTCTTCCCACTATTGTGAGGTTGTTTGTAGCTCACGTGGCCGTCCCCACGGTCCTGGGGACAGTCCTCCATGGTGTGGGTCAAGTCCTACAGTCCAGGAGACAGTCCCTTCGTCTAGGACTCAGTCCCGTCTCCTACAATCATTCTTAACCATACACAAAAATTTTCAAAGTAAAATCTAGGTACAAATTTTGTACCGAAACGTTTGCACCAATTTTTTTCAGTCCACTGGTATGTTTAGCAAGTACATTATTTTCTATTTATTATGATTTTTATAGAGTATAATGACAGTGATGGAAACAGACTAGGAGGGGGAATGATAGTTATTTAGATCTGTATCATTTATTGAGGGTAAATATCATTAGTTTGGCTGTTAGAAGGAAATGGTCAGAAGGTCCTCGAATCCGGTGAACTGTTGTCTCTTGGGAGACCGAGACTGTTAATACCATACTGAGGACAACACCTGCTGGCCTCGTCCTGAGGAGAAAGAGAGTGTTAATATTTATCACTTAATATACTCAGTTGTCTCTCGGTGAAAGCCAGGATAAAGGAACGTACCTAACACTGATAATTATCATTATCACTCAATATTCTCACTAAAAAGTCCGCTTCTTCACATACACAAGCGTTCATATCTTGCCTTTTTTCTCCTACCCACAGATGCTCTCTTAATAAACTCACTTCACCAATCATACATTCCTTCGACATGACCGAACAACTCAGAACACAGACGCGAGTTATACCATGGATACTTACCTACAGTATACAGCAGCACGAAGGGCCAGAAGGTTACTTTCTGCCCACTTCACCCATCAGCGTTGGGCTGCCTAGAAGAGCGTTGATGAGTTCGGAGTTGCGCTTGCTGGGGGCAGCAGAGGTGCCCCATGGCCCGTGGACCACTCGGAGGATCTGGGCTGCCAGGTTGGTCACCACCTGAAGCATTGGTCGCAACACCAGCCACGGAGGCGGACCA